CGTAGCGCGTAGCCACCGCTAGCGCGGGAACTCGGCTGGCAAACTCGCGCTCTGATTGGTCGCAGTTTTTCGTTAATATCTCGTAAACGGAGCCTCAGTCTAAATTTTTGCTAAGGAAAAAGTTGTTCCAATTCACCCCCCGAGTGCCACATTTCCGGGTCGGAGGACATTTTTGGGACACCCTGTATAATCCTGTTGTAATGAAACGTTGCAATGTTTTTAGATATCTTTAGTTATAATCAACTTCATTTCATATTATTCTTCATCCATAATGAATATAAATACTTATGTAAGCAGCTAAACCTGTAAAAAGTACGCAACAAGTATAAAGTATAACATAGCTACAGTGAAGAATAAGAATATTCAATATCTTTAAGGTGTTTAACCATAGAAACTGAAAAAATGGTAAAATGATATGTACAGAATGTCCGGTTTAACTATATACACGCTATTATTTCTGTAACCATTGAAAATACGAAGAAATGTTTCATATGAAAACTGTTTGATTTCATGGAGTAAACTTAATGGAATATTTGAATTTTTTTATTATTGTTATTTACATAGATTCTAATACCAATGTAATTTTTTTACAATGGAACCACATATTTTGTTTACTGTCGTCTTATTAAGCATTTGAAGACGAATTCAACGACATATTTGAATGTTTTGTTTGAACAACAATTTCGCGGATAACTGTATGAATATTGGTGGCAATTTCATTTCACATCAAGCGATCAGAAAGTACAGTACTTAAATGCTATCAGAGAGACCATAATATAACAATAATAACTTTCTTGTAGGTTGAGTAGGAGTTACATAACAATTCGTGACATATTTCAAATATTTTATGTAAAATATGTCACGAATTAATACATTTTTCACACAATACCTTAATACTTTATTACCCAGAATCTTTGGAAGAATCGATTTATGTAATAAAAGTATTTTATTCCATAATATTTTAATATCATTAATAAAAATAACATAATTAACTTTGAAAACTTAGAAGATACTCGACTTACGAAAAACTTGTTACTGCTAAGTAATAGCCCTTTTCATATTGTACAACTTCGGTGAATAAACTTTTCTGATATCTCTAAAAATAACGGAGATAATTAATGTAACCGTAAAGTGGGCATATGCAGCCCATCCTATATGTAACTGCGTTGCACGACTGAACAGCCTAGTAGTGGAGAAAGCGCTCGGGTTATTGGTCACCGATTCCTGCACGGTTCTTGGAATTCTAGCCCTCTACAGCCCCGACTAGAGCGGGAAACGAATCTCTACTGTAACACGAACGAGATATATAATATACCATTTATGCTAATAATACTCACAATTCATGCGTATCGGTAACGTTGGGTAGCAACAATTCAACGGTGTTGGGGCTCTGGAGCCCCCAAAAATGGGTAATATACCCTAGAAAAGTGGGCCGGAAAAATACATTGGATGAATTGTCTACTTCTATCCTCGTCTGTGCATTCACGTTCACATTAGCCCACCAGCGACGTAATGCGCACAATTTCGCAACCATTCGCGCGGTAGATTTATTAAAAGCGGTATATAATAATTGTAAACTATTTAAATTTATAATTAGTTATTTTACTAACTAATAACCCATTATACACATATAAACTCTAGTTTTCGTCACCTTGTAAAAGCAATTGCAGAAACTACTAATTTTACTTTTATAGAGTAGGGATAACGATAAGCAGAACATGTTCAAATGGCCATTTGTTTCCCACAAACTTAATAGTTTATTATTTAAAATAGAGCTGAAGTTGTAAACTTTAAGTCTATTTTTTAACCCTAGTGTTCATAACCGGGTACCTGGGTATCCACTTGGGACTTTGAGTTAGATATTCTTTGAAGATATTTTTTAAAATATATGTATGTACTTATAAGTATATGTATGTACTTATTTGTTGCATATACAGAACATAAGGTGTGAACGATAAATCAGTCAGAAATTTAGATGAGACATGTACTGATAGTATATAGTATACAATAATATATGTGAATAGGTATACATATGAATGGAAAACGCTGGTACCGTTAATCTATGTAAGCGGCGAAGTTGCTTTATTTTCAAAGATGGCGTACCTTCAAAATGCAGCAACCCATGCTATGCTTGGAAACCCCCATCCCGTATTCAAATACAGGGTGTCTCAAAGATTTCTCTCTTCCCGGGAATGATGGGTTCCTGAGATGATTTGAAACAACTTTTTCCTTAACGAAAATCTAATCTGAGGCTTTGTTAACGAGATATTAACGAAAAACCGCGTATAATCAGGACGCTAGTTTGCCAGCCGAGTTTCCGTGCTAGCGATAGCTACGCGCTAAGCTTGTACTATGAAGCTCCGAACAAGCAAGTCGAGATGCATCCCAGGAAACCGCGTATAATAGCAAATAAGAAAACGTAACAAATCGAACATTTTATCATCTTTCGTTTATCATTTAAAGTGATGAATGAATGAAACGTAAATGGAAGAAAATCATGTGTAACGTAAAAAGACGAATACACAAATACTTCTTTTAAATAAAATCGAAAATAATAATTACTTGAAAATAGAGACTAAGGAATTTATAAATTTAGTAGTTCAGTAACGGGTAACAATGATACTGATTACGAATAATTGTCTTTAAGAAGCCCGGAGAAAAATATAGGTACGGAAACTTGCAGAATTATAGCCGGGAAAAAGTCATAGCTTGCGTTAAATTACAAAAATAATAATGAAATTTACTTGCAGTTTGCAAACCTGTGTCACTAGGTCACTGGACCGATCCTGGTCATGGACCGCCGAAACGGTTTATGGCAGGGTATCGCCCAGTCCGTCTACGCGAGACAAGACCCCTAGACCTCTATAAAACTCCGAGGTTATACTTCATGGATTGTCCCGTGCCTGCTAACACCGCCAACGATTCTGGCATCACTGCGGCCAGGACGCATCAGCCAGGCCTGGGAGTGTCACGCTTAGTGATTGACAAACTCTAATCGCGACGAAGGAGACAATCCTTTTAAAGCCGTATACAACTCTAACGGATGGCTTGAAGGGCACAGCGCACATAGCTATGCTCGTTGTGAATTTTCTCGCGTTTCCTCTACCATGTGACTGTCAGATTTAACGCGAGATTTGTCAACTGTTCTGCTGCTGGTGGAAGGTCCTTTACTCTCCTTCCTATCGACCAACGAATTAGCTTTCGCGGCAAGGAATTCCTCGAGCTGATCGTACGTCGGCTACTCCTTGAAGTTTCCGTACAGATCGGCCCACTCCTCCTCCAGTACCGTATCAAATTTCCGCGTTACCATGTGAACGAGAATTAGGCCCTAACGTTCCACCTCACAACCCAAATTTCGTAACGCGGCTAACGTGTGTTTAAACGTGACGGTAAATTGTCAGAAGGATCTAGCTTGATTATTCCTGATTATTCCCGTAATTTTGCTCCAACGTGTTCCATGCGATTTCGAAATTTTCGTCTGATACATTAATATCGGACACTGACGCGCGTACTTCATCCTCTAGAGCAGTGATGGGCAACTCAGCGCCCGCCAAACTCACTGGCGGGCAACGGCGTGCAGCGTGCGGGCACATAGCAGTGGTGGGGGAAATGTGTGTGTGAGACCGTGTATCTATAACTCACTTCATACACAAGTGACGTTTCCTGCCTCGCATCTCCTCCACAGTAGCCCGCGGCTGCCCGCCACTTGCCCATACGAGCAACGTGTCGGAGCGGGCGCGGTTGCCCATCACTGCTCTAAAGAGGCAAATAAATATTGTAACCGCATTGAGTTCGTAAGAGATTCGTTCTGTATCACTGCGGTTTTGAATAAGTCCGCGAAGTGTATCCACTCGTGGACATTTCCGCGGAATCTCGGCAGTCGTTGCTCCGGAAGTTTTATTAGATGTCGTGGACTTACCGGATTTGCGGACAATACTCTACTGGAATGCTCCACAGGCGATGGTGGCCCCTGAGGTTGTATGTTATCCAGCTCCTCCGCGATGTAATCTCGCATGCCGTCCACCAGATCAGCGACGGTGTCGATCCTGTTGGATGCGAAATAGTCCGTCTGCGGCCTCACCTCAGCGGGGTAACGAGTTGTTAGCCTCGCGTGGGTCGTTTTTCCTTTTTCCCACTCCGCATTCAGGGTGTCCAACCTGGACTTCAGCATCCCTCGAGTGAAGTTTGCCCTAACCTTTTTCTTGAGGTTGGGCAGCATCCTACTTAGCTGGCCGAGGTCGAACAGCTGCTTCATCAACAGTTCGACGCTTTCCGATTCCATGCTCTTCTGCTGCGATATTGTCCTTTCACTGGTCACTTTTCTTTACCGTAAATCAAAAAACCTGAGAAAATCCGGCTCGAAGGACCAAATTTATGTTAGACCGAGTTAGAGCGCAAGTCGACGCCCGGCGATTTCAAACCCGACCGTTGCTGTGTACAGTGTGTTTCCTTCTCTCTCGCTCTCCCCTTCGTAGCAAGCTCTCTTGCTCGCACGCATAGCAACGCGTACGTGGCTCAATCTCGTCGTATAAAGTCGTTCGTATAAGAGAGAAGAACAACATTTACAGTATATTTTCTCCTCGTCGCTCTTGTCCGAAGAATCCTGATCGACTAGCGGCCTTGAACGGGAGATACCGGGTGTACTCCCGAAACCGGTAATAATTGGTACCCCGAGTTTCTAACAATAGACCTTCGGATTTCTAAATAACTTTCTTTGATCATTCCTTTCATTTTGGTTACTTCATATTATATAAATTGATTTATCGATTCCTGTTATATTCGTGTTATAATTAGTTGACTACGAATATTTATACAAATACAGATTTTCATGGACTAATGTACAGAAACTGCAATTAAATGAAATTCAGCTTAGTCTATCGAGAGTTCTATCACATTCTAAATAAAATGCAATGGATATTAAACTTTGCTAAACTTTTTTTTCAAACGACTTTCAACCCTTTAAGTTGTGAGTTAATGGGGAACACGTAATCATGTTTTAGGTGCTCCCGAGGAGAAGCTATGGGCATATCTACCAGGTGGTCCGCCACCTCCGGAACGTCTGACAACGCCTAGGACAACAACGACAAGCATTGGGACGACCTACAGACCGTGGAGAACAAGACCGACAAGGCCGAATCACTATCCAAACGACGACCGACCCCGTCGCCCTGATCGTTACCCTCAGAAGCCGGAATACAGGACGGAAAGACCGGAGGAGCGACCTCCGAGACCTCACAAGCCCCACAGGCATCATACAACAACGACCACACCGAGCATCACCGTCACTACGACCGTAAGGACCACAACGAGCACCCAGAAGCCGAGGTATCGATGGACACCGACGCCCAGGAACGATATGCCAGATAAATGTGACACCAGCTATGACGCCATCAGCATTATTCGCAGGGAGATCTTTGTGTTCACGGGCAGGGTGAGTTTCAAGTAAATTCGTTGGTGGCGTTCGATTGAACGAATTGAGAGGTCCAGTGCAAGAGGGAGCTATACCACAACCGTAGCGCTGTGTGATATTAATGGATTGTATACCTTTGAGCTGTTAAATACGAGGGAAATTTAAAAATTTTGTTTGTATATGCAGAATTATTGTTTAGTAAAAATACAACGTATACATCTTTTATTATGTTATTTTGTTAGTAATTTCTGAAAAATTAAGCTATACATATATCTGTCTACAGACGAACATGGTTGTCATTTAAAAGCGTTTTACTCGAAATGCAGTTTTCAAAATCGGGACCAGAAATATTTAAAAGACTACTGAACCAATTTGGATCAAATTTTGTGCATTTTTTCTTTCTTTAGTGACAAAAGAAGTTATGCCATTAAACTTTTGTCTGAAATATTTTATAATATCGTCAACAGTTTCGGAGATATTCGAGTGGATCGATTTAAATGGAACATCCTGTATATATATATATGTACGAGGGGTGTTTCCAAAGTTCCCGGAATTGCGCTGTCAATTTTTTGGTTTATTCATTTTCGATTATATTACACTGTAATTTTTCAATATAATTTCCGTTCAACTGTATGCACTTTTCCCAGCGTGGAAGCAGTTTTTTTAGGTCAGGCCTGGCCAAACAATCGCCCGCGGGACCCCATAAACAATAACATCAGCCCTCACCACTCGCTTGTGTTGTGTTGTCATCCTCAGGCAGGAGGTGCGCGCGCATGCTGACTGTCCCCACTTTCGGCACTTCCGAAGTCCCTACTCATCGAATCTTGGCAATACACGTTAACATAGTGACTATGTGTTGGAAATGGGGCAGTCACAGCATGTGCGTGCGCCTTCTGCCCGAGAATGGCAACACAACACAAGCGAGTAGTGGGGACTGATGTTATTATTTATGTAGCCCCACGGGCGAACGTTTGGCCAGGCCTGTTTCAGGTCATCTAAAAAAATTTGTTCGTAGTCTCTTTCATCCACTGGTTTGCGATCCGTTTCACGTCATTTAAGTCTTGTACTCACATACCACGTAGAGGTTTTTTCAATTTTAGAAACAGTTGACAGTCACTGGGTGTCAGATCAGGCGAATAAGGTGGATGTAGAAGTCATTCCCAGCACAATTCGTTTAAAACTAATTCCTAAGAAAATAATGCCTCTTTGAGAATTTACAGGGTTTTTTATAGTTGCAAAATGAACACTTAAAAAATACGTATGTATTTCCCACGCGGTTAAATCATTCTGATCGGCATTGACTAACAACGTTAGAAAAACCTATCAGGACTGATCTGTATACAGCAGCGCTGTGCAGCATAAGGGCACCTCACGCGTCTGATTCCCCTTCCAACGTTTCTTTCACACCGTGTGCCTTCGCAGAAACAAAGAAGCCCAGACTCTTGTCCCTGTCACTCCATGGTAACGGTGGACGGTGGTGGGGACAAGTTTTAGCTCCCGGGAGCTAACTTTGCCCACCGCTGATATACAGGATGAGTCTCGTCAATTACAGTCAATGTACTTGCGTAATCGGATTATGAGTGAACGAAGAACTTTTTCTAGTATTTTTGCAGTTATTGTGGCACATGCACTAATAATACGTATGTTCTTGCACCTCTCTCCGACAGTCGTTCGTGGCTCGCGATAAACTTCAGTTTTTAATGTTCCCCAAAGGAAATAATCGAGCGACGTTAAATCTGGCGAGCGAGCTGGCCAAGCAATGTTACTACCACATCCGATCCAACGAGTAGGAAACATTCTATTTAATATTTACCACGATTGCCGAGCATAATGTGCTGGACAGCCGTCCTGTTGATAATACCACATTATTTCACGTATTAGACACGGTACATTTTCTAATAAGCCTGGTAGTGTTTCGGATAAAAATGTGGAGTATCTTTGACCCGTTGATGATCCTTCAATGAAGTACGGTCCAATGATGTGATGACAAACTATACCGCACCAAACATTCACTTTCCACCGGTGTTGGTGGTCAATATCACGAATTCAATAAGGATTCTCTGTTGTAAAATGTGATGGCTACTTTCGATCAAGATACTTATTAGTTTAGTATAATATCTTAGCTCGCGTAGCATTTTCATCACACGCACCATAAACAATTATCATATCGCACTTTTCTCTGTTACTGAACACCTTACTTTTACGTTTACTCAGCTACTAAACTCAGCTGCATCTCATATTGATGATGTCTAACATGTACATAACAAAGAACATGTTTACAAACATGACTTGCCGTCGTAAACGAAGTTGTGTTCTCACGTTGACTGAGCATTTTAAAATATTTCCTAATAGAAGATTATTAATTTGAGAATATCTCAGTAATTATTAATTTTAAACCCTCTTTGCTATAATACTTTTTTTACGCAGAATTTGCTGCTTTATCCGAATTCAGGACAAAATATTGAGCATTACATTTAAAAAACTGAAGGTGACCCTCATATTTCGATGAAAAAGCAAAATAACAAAAAACAGATTACAGCACTGGATGTCCCCCTGAAAATCATGCAAGATTTGTTTAAACAATTTTTTTGGCACAACAAATAACTTAGGAGTTATTTGAAGTTCCCACGTTACGAGCCACACCCTGTATACCTGAAAGCATTAGTCATTAACCCTGCACTATTCAGCCAGATCGCAATTCCCAGAACTTTGGAAACACCCCTCATATGTATCATACAATCACAGTACAGGCATGAATTTTGCCAAGTAGCTATAAATTAAGGGATAATAACTAGACACCAAGAGGTCCCAGAATTAATAGAAAATATCGTTCTTTAACATTTTGTGAAATAGCTCCCTCTTGCACTGGACCCCTTAATTTAGTGCATACACAGAATCATTGTGGCAAGTAAACTAGGTTATAGCTATATTTCAAGTGAAGTTAGAAAAAAATCGTAGAGGAAAATTTTGCACCGTTTAACAAACTCTGTTACTCGACTGTATGATTTTTTACACAACTAGTCGCTCTAGTTCTTAATTGTTCTACCTCCACTAGTTTCTAAACTGAGAAAACGGAGTTTAAAGTTTACGAGATTTAATATTATAGAAGCAGAAAAATAGTGAAATAATCGAACACACTATAATATCATCTACTGAATATCTACTTATTACAATATTTCAGAAAATTTGATCTTATTATCAACATAAATTTTTTATTGTTGCTAGTATTTGGAGATACAACCATTAAGAACAAAAACTTTCAAAGTTTTGGAGTTAGGATTTAAAATAATATTTCTGTTTTCTAGGTTGAATCTTCTTTAGACGTATTATGGTGCATTTGTATTCTTCGGATCAATGAGGCGGATGTAGATTGATTAACTAAATTTTGTTGAAAATTGAAATTACACTTTTTTTATTAAATAGAACACTACGATCTTTTTTGCATAAATTAATTTCTCGTGTCATTCTGTGTATGAAGGATATAAGATAAAGTCATTAAAAACACAATATTTTACTAAACATTTTATTTTTGCGACAACTGAACATGGTAATGATTGAAAACGAAAATGTGGATTTTCTGAAACGACTTCAAACACAGACAGATCTTGATATAAATCTTTGATATAAAACTACAACAGAATTAAGATGTTGCCAATATTCTGTCATTTTAAAAAATTTCTTCATATGCACACATTTTTTACAGTATCTGTGGAGAATCGGTGATCACGGATTATACGAGGGTTACCCAGCAGAAATCATTCGTCTGTTCAACTTACCTGAAGATATCGACCACGTGGATGCAGTTTACGAAAGGCCTGACAAGAAGATAGTATTTTTCATCGGTAAAAAGTATTACGTTTTTAACGCCAACTTTCTGGAGCCCGGGTATCCGAAACCGTTGACCACACTGGGACTTCCGGAATCATTGGAAAAAATCGATGGCGCTATGATTTGGGGACACAATGGGAAAACTTACTTCTTCAGTGGATCTATGTATTGGAGGTATTAAAAGCAGGAAATATTATTTCATATTATAAAATACAGAGCGGAAATTATTTTACGGTAATACAATTAAAATATTCCTTTTTCTTGAAGATAACATGGAATTCTGAATCGATTGTCGTGGTGAATTTAAATTACAACTTAGATGTTTAATTCAATTTTAAATTATTCTATTTGAAACATGTTACAAAATGTTAGGTTCAGTCGCAGATAACTGCCGATAGAATTGTTTAAAATTATACCAGTCAAAGATACTTCACAGTAAATATTACGTATTTTCAAACATTACTAAATTCACAAGGACAGGAAAAACTGCTAGGTAGTCGATTTGGATTTTCGTCCGATCTGGACAAGCTTTAACGTGGTCAATCCATGGGGTGTCCCGTGCAACTGGGCCAAGTTATATCTTCAAAAGGGTAGGAGGTAGAAAAACACTCATTAGACAAATTTAAATGGTTTCATATAATGCATCACATAATACATGTGTCTGCTCCGAAAATGAAGGCGTGTCAAAGATTTCAAGGTCACCTATACCTTTTTAAATAGAACTATATATTTGTATACAGGGTGTCTCACTTATGACCGAACACCTAAATATCTTCTTTATTTTGAATGATATGAGAAATGTTTCGAACACAATTTGAATGGTTTCAGAAATGGAGTATCGTACATGGGACATTTTTCTTGTGATAATTTTTTTCTATTATTTTTTCTTTTCATTCCTGTTTTATACATATTTCTTGATATCTTTTTTGTTAATTATTATTAGTTCCTTCATTTATTATAACGTCAAATTAATTACTTTATTTTCCATTATTCTGGACATAATAAATCATAAACGAAATAAGATCCAATATTGATGTCGAAAAAATAATCGGACACCGGTATATCTCGCAGCTTATTCACTATAGAAAATCAATTCGTAGACTCCTTATGATTGTTTCTAACATCAAGTATGTGTAGCAGCTCGGTCAGTTCCAGGTATTCAGTGTAACGCGCCCTAGTGATTTACTTTTTTCAATAATTAACTATTTATAATTATAATTTATTTTTTAATAATCTTGGTGGAGGAATCACCGGTCCTTCCCGCTAGTATTATACGCATGCGCAGTAGTATTATTAAATTTAAATAAGAGTACTGTTGCGGATATTATAAAAAGGTACAATCATGAAGGTCGCATTGAATCTATTCCTCAAAGAAGACGTCCACGTCTTCTTGATAGCCGTGATAAGCGTAAAATTATTCGAAAAGTGAAAATCAATCCAGGATTAAGTGCTCCTAATTTAAATGCAGAATTATTTCAAGAACCTGGAAAAACAGTACTATAATACTACATATACTACAGATTTTATTTCTTAAACACAGTCGTGGTGGAATGATGTGATCATTGCAGATGAAAGTCGGTTTCATGTTTCTGGATATAACAGACAAAAATGAATGTGGCGTAAACCGAATGAACAATTCCAAATAAATAATACCAAACCGACGGTGAAACACGGTGGAGGAGGCTTAATGGTATGGGGCTGTATTTCAACTGCCGGAGTAGGAGAGTTAATTTTTATTGGTGGAATTCTAGATAAAAACAAATATTTGGACATATTAAAAGAAAATTGAAGGGAAAGTGCAACGAATATGGATATATAAAACAGTTTTAAGGTCTATCAAGATAATGATCCGAAACATAAAACAAGAATAGTTCAGGAATATTTATTATATAATAGTCCGAAAGTGCTCCATCCTCCGCCACAGTCACCGGATTTAAATCCAATAGAGAATTTATGAGTTTTGTTAGATCGTAACATTTGGACGACATCCATAAGAACAAAAGAGGAATTAAAAATACGACTAACAGAAGAGTAGAGACGTATTACTCAAAATTATTTACTGAAAATTATTTCAAATATCCCGACATGGTTAAAACATGTTATTAGACAAAAGGGACATTCAAAAAAATATTAAAATTATTATAATTTTGTTCGCAAGTATCTATATATGGTGAAAAACGTTATACAATTTTACGTGTCCGAATATTTTTTCGACAGCAATATTGGGTCTAATTTCATTTATGATTTATTATGCAAGAAACAATAAAAAATGGAGTAATTTATCTGACATATTTGGAAACTAGAATGTGTTTTAGCCTATCACGGACCAGAAAATTCGATAATCACATTTTAAGTAAGTATATAGAGCAATAATTACGCAAGTACCATGGTGTCCAAATATTAAATCGAGTAAATGTATCTAAAAATATACAGTTTTATTTCAAATAATAAAGGCAACCTTGAAATCTCTGAAACACCTGCACTTCCAGCACAGACACATGTGATGATCATGTGATCCATGACACGAAACTATTTCAATTTGTCTAATGAAGTTTTTGTCTACCTCTTACCGTTTAAAAGATATAGTTTGTCCTAAGTTGCGTGTGACACCCTGTATACAGGGTGAGTCTCACTCTGTATTGAAAATAAGCAGACACGTATCTGAGCATTTTTTTTAATAGACCGTAATAACCGAGGTCTTTTGTAACATTGCGTAATGCGATATACAGGGTGTTAATAAAAATGTGGGACACTTTCGTAGGGTGAATTCTGCATGCCAAACTATTTGCAAGATGAAAATCACTGTTGAACATACCCCTGTTTTTTGAGTAAACAACCTGTATATAAACTTATAACGAAATTAGAAAATGAACAAAATTGTTAATAATTACTAGATAAAAATGAAACCAAGAAAATTATAATTGTGTATATTATACTGTATATCTTTAACACATTTACCGTCATGACGGTCGGCGATGATCGACATCGAGCTTACCGTTTACGCTTCGTCGGTGACGGATGACAATTTTCGTAAACAATATAATAACCTTAATCTGTCGAGCGGTAAATGTGTTAAAAAAGAATAATAGAATAGAATGAAAGAATAATTTGAATTGGTATCACTTATGATTATATTTTATTTTATTGATAGGGAATTCAATTTTTGCTAGAAAAATGGAAAAATGTTACAAACAACGAAAGGAATTATTTCGACTAAGAGATATTATAGCAATTGTGCAATATTAACACTTTGATGTCGGATGACGTAGTAGTAGGTTTTTTCAAAAACAAAAGCTGAGGGCGGTTGACCTAGTAGTACGTCTTTCTTAAATAAGAACTAGAATAGTCAAAAATATGAAAAAATCGTTTTTCCTATGTGTAAAGTTTGACAATTAAAAAGTAATAGTTTTTAAATACTTTTAGAACACCTGAAGTTATATATTTGCAACTACAAAAACCATCCCGCCAGCAAAGTGTTAATAAAGATCTTTTACAAACATATTTCATTATACTAATCTATTTTAACGTCATTTCCATGAAGTATTATTTTTTAATTATGACTTCATTCACGCAGGTTCGATGAATCCGTAAATTTTGTAGAACTGGATTATCCAAGAGACATAAGTATGTTCGATGGTGTTGGGAACGATATCGACGCTGTGTTCCAGTGGAAAAATGGTGAAAAAATCATACAATACTTCTGAAACTACATAATTGTAAACGACAGAATTAATTGATGAAAATGAATTATTAAAATAAAATCTTTCTTCTCCAGGCAAAACGTACTTCTTCAAAGGAAAAGGTTTCTGGGAATTCGATGACTTAAGGATGAAAGTCGCCCATGAAAAGCAAAAACTATCGGCACCAGTCTGGATGGGCTGCCCACGAGAATTAGAAACCAACGATGTTGAGAATTATCCAAGGAAATCTAAGATCATGGCCTCAAGCGACGCAACCACACCACCAACACTTTCTCTCGGATTACTTTTTATAGTATATTTTAGCAAATATTTATAAACTGTGATATTTATGTAAAGTCGCGTATAAACATGAGCACGTACGCATATACGTGCTCCAGTCTGCACGCGATTAAATTTTAATGCACTTCCCTTATACCGACGATGTATAATTAAAGTAATTTTAATAAGATGATTTTTAAATAATTTTAATAAAGAATTTTAATAATATGGACCGACTTACGCTGATTCCTGAATTTTTTTTGCCAATTCCAAATATATATTTTTCTTCTGTTAACCCTCACATTACCGATGGCCGGGTTACCGGCGACCCGTCAGTAACAATAGTCACTAAACTGTTTGTACGACTACGAAGCGAGTATGTATTTCGAGATGTTGGTATGAATCACGATTGACCTACACGTCGGCTTTGACTTGAATACGGTCCGTATTCTGCGGGTTAAATAATCATCTTACAAATACAGTGGGACCCCGAACTTATGTACTATGTAACTACATAGTTCCAGAGTGGGTGACGTAAGTCGAAAAAGACGCAAGTTGGGATACACAGGATATCACGTATTATATATGCAAACATACATACACATGCATGTATTTATCAGATTAGGAGATACATTTTCTTTTAAATGTATAAAAATGTTAGAAATAATATCTTTGCTCAAGTAACTTTCAGACTGATTCAGTAAGAACTAAAAACGTGAAGCATGAAATATCGGTTGAAAACAATTGACTATCGCGTTGTGTAGGGACAACGTAACTGCGATTGTAATTGTAGTTAATGTTTCTAAAATTACTACTATCGGATCATTCTACGCCAAATCGATCACTTCTTGCCCTCAATGTCAAGGATTTTGTTCAAAATGAAATATGATATAGTCCAGGTGAAATTAGAGCGGATTTTAAGTGCTCATTTTTCTGTTCTCAACTTTGTTTTAAAAATACAGGATGCCGAAAGCTACGATTTTTGACTATTTGCGCGATACTGCGGTGTACTTAAAAGTGTATATTTCGAAAACTATTTATCGTATCGAGTTCGTTCTTTGATTGTTTTAATCTAGAAGGATTGCCCTACCATAATTATTTTTTGTTATATGAAAAATTGATTTTTAATACAGAAAGTTATAAACAAATTCTTTTTTCGACATTTTCTCAGTGATGGGCAATGGGTGTTCAAATTTTTTTTAAATATGGTCATATTCCTTGAAATCTTACCTACAAAATAAGCCTTTCGGAAAAATGGGGCAATTAAAATTAGATTCACAAAGAGCTGCAAAGTGATTGGTACACCCAGTATTGTGTCAAAATCGTAGAACTTTTGATAGAAATAAAATAGAAGGATGAATCTTTTTCGAAGTTAAAGCTAAGATATTGCATTATCAGGCATACATATAGAAGAACTATCACATATAAATTTTGACCTTAGAAATATATGTAAAACTTGACATTTTTTAAGAAAACTGCAGTTTTTCCGTTACAATGTGTGGTTGAATTTTTTTCCTTAAATTGTTATACATCAGTTCCTATAGATTTTGACACGCAGAATTGAAATCTGGCCGCAGGATATGTCTAACCCTACAGGATTTTAACAAAAATGCTATTTAACTGAAAAAAGTCGATAATATATATTTTTTTAAAGGTCTAAATTTTTTTTAATTTCAAGACCCCTTGCCCATCACAGAGAAAATCGTGAAAAAGAACTTGTTTATAATTTTCAGTATTAAAAAATTAATTTTTCATATAACAAAAAACAATTATAGTAGGGAAATCCTTCTTGATTAAAACAATCAACGAACGAACTCGATACGATAAATAGTTTCCGAAATATATCATTTTGAATGCATCCTAGTTTTACGAAAATAGTCAAAAATCGTAAACTTCGACGGCCTATAATTTTGTACACAAATTCGAGAACAGAAAAATTATGACTTAAACCCCACCTAATTTCACCGGGACTACATCATACTTCATTTTAAACAAAATCCCTAATGTAAAAAGTGATCGATTTGGCGTGGACGTGACCCTATCGTAAATAAGCGGTAAAAAAGAAAACACATTTGGACATTATTTAACTCATATATTTAACAAAAACATGTACACTTTTATTTGACTGACCAACTCCAAAAGATATGTGAACAGAATCTCCTTTACAATCTTTACATTCCATTTTGATGTGTAGACTCTGCTTTGCTTATTCCCTTTGGTGCGAATATTCCAAGAACATTTCAGTTGAGCAACAAAATGTCGCGACCACAGTGCATTCAGAAAAGCGTAATTACACAAGTTAAAACTTGTCATTGGACTTGAATTTGACTGTGAGCCCAATTTAAGTTCGGCCATAATACGCATTATTAACACTCTATCTTTTAGTTCCTCCATAAAATATTTTACATTTAATCTGTACGATAATAAAGCTTCGTTGAATATTTTGTTACTTTTCTCTCATGCTAAAGACGTAGATCAGGTGGTGAGTATGGGTCCCAAGGATTAAGCAATCTCAATGTAGTATGAACAATAGTGTCTACTTCTGCCATGCCACCCATTCCACTATCACCACACATAAGTGTTTTAGAAATGCAAGTAACCTCCTTGTACCCCCAGGACTTGAGTAAAGTTACCTATAAAAAAGAAACATTCAAAATAGTTTAGATAGGAAGTATTATAACATAATAAATACATTGTAAATTTCCTACTGTTTTAAGGGGTGGCAACAGGGTAAAATTGTGAAAAGATCGATTTCTTTCTTATATTTTCGGGAACGTACACATTTCAAGAATACTATATGAAGATTTCAGAAAGAAATTCGTACAATAGGCTAAGTTATAACCTTTCCCGTGAATCGATTCTAAGCGCTCGGCTCAAAGGTCGCGCAAGTATACGGATTATCCGGTAATTAATTAATCATTATCAATGATTATTAATATTATATAATTGTTAGTAATTAACTAATGGTTAATAATTACAACATTTTTTATTATTAGTAATGGCAGTTTAGTTAGCCCTTGGCAGTCGAACGTTTAGCATCATATTGATCTTGAGATTGAATTTTTGCACTCTTCTGTGTTGTTATCATGGATAGATGAGGTAAAAGACACTCAGATAGAACGAGAACTTATAGACATGATACAAAGCCAAAAAGCCTAAAATAGCTAGACCAGCAGCGCGTGGATAAATCCGAACGACAAGCGCGCGCAAGTACGCACAAAGACCATTTACGTGCTCTACGAGGAGAAACCGATAGGCGACGACGATTCTATGAATTCTGAACAAATTCTGTATGGCCCAAGAATAGCTGATTTGAGCTAAATGACAGATTTTAATTTTATGTTTACGAATCATCATTTACGAAAACTTTAAACGCGTTTTCCTCGAAACGACATTCTTCAACACAGTTGACAGTTTTACAAAAAACCTATAGGTACATCCTATTCATTTCATTCAAGTCGCATTTTATTCACAAAACCAGTATCTATGGCACGACGTAGGATTTTTTGATTGGTTGTTTCTTCCTATGCTTTTTTTTCAATGAAAAAAGTTAATTCCTTGACAAAATTTCAATTTTTTTCTTTAAAAGTCTGCCATCTTATTATTTGTCAAAATCCGCATGTAGTTTCTAAAACATTTTCGTTTTCTTATATCGGATGAGCTGTTTGATCGGAAAGCTGTCAACTAGTCAGCGAAGATTTCTTTGCAGCGTTACGTTACTGGTCCCGTACAGCATATAAATCTGCTTTAAGTAAATTTAAACAAAATTTTCCTAATAATTTGAATATTCGATAAAAAGTCCTTGAAGGTTTCACAAAAATCCATCAAGTAATTTTCATTCGATAAATTCCTAAATGTACCTTTACTTTTCGAGCTGTTACCCTCTTGTTTCCCCTTAAATAATAATTCTACATCTATTCAAGTAAATCTTATTTTGCTGACATAGGAGAACTCCATTCATTCTGATATAATATTTCAGTATTCAGTTACTGAACAGTTTTTATTACTGAAACTTCTGACATACAATGCTACTATTACTTGAACATAGATATTGCTACTATTGGAACTATATGCAATCTATCTGTAAATTCAGATCTTAATTATTAGAATTATGTTAATTTTGTATCATATAGACATTCAAATTATCTTTTTCCTAACATATTTACACAAATGGAGTTCTGCTGCATATACAATTTCATTTTAAGTGTTATGAAAAACATAGTACTTTTCTTAATAAGGAGAACTCTGTAGGTGTCATACTGACTTCTGAATGCACTTTTTAACACTCATAGGTCTTGAAACAATGAAGCCACTGATATATAGTTATTCAGGCAAATACTTTCATAGTTCATGAAATATTTAATGTTTAATTTTGATGATTGTGCATTACCAACTATAAAATAGCTGGTATAACAGCTACTCACGAGAACAAAATTTTTGTAAAAATTCAAATCCCTCTGGTGCTTTTTTTTTCAATAATACGTTTGTTTACAATGACTATGAATTGATTTTATTCTAGCTTTAAAAACATATTACCATGTAAAGACTATATTTAAATGAATACTTTTGTACAATAAATTTATGTGTTGATAACATTTCACTATATCTAAATATAATATAGATTTTATATTTTGTTTAAATATATCATTTAAATAAAAGTATGCAACAGACTTGATAATTCATCTGACTTTTTCTGCTATTATGCAATCTATTATCATATATAGTGTATGTATTTACCCATTATGTTCTACATAAAAATAAAATCAATCAGTTATTTGCCACTCAAACATAAGTAACAAGAAAGATGTATTGTACAAAGGCTGCAAATAATAAAAAAAATGCATTGTTGGGAAAAGTTTTGAAGAGATTTGAACCTGTATGACAAGAATATACAAGAAGCTATATTATGTTCTAAATTGCAATCTTATTCATACTTCTATATACGTATATTTATCTATCTTCTTACTATTAGCATATTATTACATGTAATATTATCTACTAACAAACTACTTTTAAAATCATATACCATTAACTTCAATATTTCTAGCTTTACACTGCAAAAGGTTACTCAAATATCAGCAGTACATCTACCACTACACCTCTCCTTGTAAACATTTACAATTCTATATTGCTAAAGTAATCTTACATTTATTTTGATCTAAAATTATAAAGTGTAACAATGTGAAACATTTATGTAAGAATTACTTTAATGCTGCTACAGTTAAAAATTATTTATTTGATATTATATGATTTCCAATGTTTATCCCTAGAAAGGAATAAAGAAGCAATATTATTTTAATGATAATTAATACCTGTGGTGCAGTAACAGGGTGTTCCCACATCTTTGTATTCATAGCAGGACAAAACACCAATGGCTTTGAAGGATTCCAGGCACGTGCGACGCAAGTCAAAATATTATCGCATATACCACTAGCTATCTTACCAAGTGTGTTAGCATCTAATGGGGCGATTAAGAATAAATCAGCCCACTTCACTAAGTCGATATGCAACACCGGGTCACCTCTATCTTGCCAGGCAGCCCATTCTACTGTATCTGATATAACTTGAATTCCACAAGGCAATTCCGCCTCTTTCAAGAAATGCTTAGCTTTCTCAGTAACCACTACCCTTACATCCAAATTGTTCTGCCATAACTTTTCTATTAACTGTGGCAATTTAATTGTGGCTACACTACCAGTACAACCAAGGAGAACTTTCTTCCTAGAGTTGCTTGCCATTTTGATAGATTTATTTTTGTCTTTTTTGTAATAGTTCGTTATTTATTATTTTAGTTGACTATATAAACTGTACTTCTGTGGAATTAACAATATTAACAAAGAATATAGACTAGGCCTGGTCCAGTCAAGCACAATGAGAAATATGTTATAATATTTTAGGCCGTTGCCTGCTGCAAGATATTTCATATAGCTGAATCAACACAGAACTACAAATAATGGAGCTCTAAGCTTAACAATGATTTATCTTCTCCTGGAATCTCTATGACATGCTATTGTCTACATGACAGGCAGTCTTAAATACTTAGGAATTATCTATGAAGTCTGTTCACTGCACTGGTATTATTTGTCACCTTAAGTTGACTGCATATTAAAAGAAATACACTTTTTTAAGGATGTTAATGCATCGTTTGTCAATCTTTTCGTATAAGCATATATATGCATATATAGTATTATCTGAAAATTTTATATATACTCTAAAACCTGTAGATTCGTTTTTCCAGATGAAATAAAAATGGCTGGGCAAAAGTTCATAAATGCTGGTTAATCGATCAAAACTTCGACAAGAGAATCGATTAATAATAAATCGCTGTTGTTATGTCTCCTTGACCTGGTCAGCGTAACCAATAGTGGACCAATCTTCCTGTACCATCAATTGATTGTCCATACGGCAAGCAAGATAATCCTTTGCCATGTTTCTGCACACCGTATTTTCGTTTTTATTTTCGTACAAGCAACGCATATACTTGAGCATGACCACTTTGCAAAGACCCTCATGATCAAGAGGAAAGCTGCCCTTCTCCGGTGGTGTGGGCTTGAATGACTTCTTTGAAAATGTATACGAGGTCATCACTACCCTTCGGAGCCGTTCATATAGAAGAATCAATATATGAAAATGAAGAACGAAACGTACTGCCAATTCTCTTCTAATTCTCACACATCACATGAAAAACTATACCGCCATTACTACATTATTGTAGACGGCAGCGCCACATGCGATGAAACATTTGAAGCACTCTTCAACGAAATACATAGTGTATTACATATTATAATATATGCTTGGAGAAGCAATATAATTTTATTTAATTACAATTATAATTGCACACACTTCTAGGGTGATGCAAAATATAATATATATATTTGTTGTTTAAGTGACATTTTAAATAGTCACACATATATACTACATACTCACTAATTGCATTATTCTATTTTGGGCAAGACCCAGTCAGCCAGACCTGCTTTAAAAATATATTACTAGATTCTGCTGTAGGCCTGATGTGCAGATTTACTGCAAATGTGCTATATATTATTTTGTAAAAATTGTAAATATGGTTGAAATCGTATCGTAAATGTACATATTCAAGGAAAAATAAATATTCTGGAGGAATATAAAAAGTATTTAATTCCACCTGTCTAATTTAAATGGAAGCAATTACAGAAGCCGCTTGGTTATAACGTAAGATTTGCTCTGTTTCTACAGCGAATCTGATGTCACGTTCTATAGCAGAGTTACTCTGTTTCTGCTGCGAAGCTGACGTTCCGTTATCTAGCAGAGTCGTATATAGACAATGACATACAGACGGAACGACATATACATTCAGAATGCAGCGACAGATGTATATGAATCTGAGGTACTGCCTGATCGAATATCAGATGCCGTGCATCTGACGTCAGTTTGCTCATAGGGAATAAGTTAATCAATTAACGCTTTAATTACTTTAATAGTTGGTTATGATGTAAATTTTAAATGTTCGTATTAATAACAAAACAAAGCACGAATTATTTATTGAATGTAAACATAAAAATAATGATCGTAAATAATATATAACATTCTAATAATAATAACAACAAATTAATTAACATTTAAATTAATATAATACCAGAGCTGATAATACATAGTATATAAAATTTTATGTAAATATGTACACCCGCAAGCAAATGCGGCTTCCACTAGGGGAAAAAGTGGCGTAAGAGAAAGGCCTTCTACCACTTGGTATTTGGAATTACTGAAATAGACGGCTTCACGACGGCTTAAAGACGCCTGTTTCAGTCGCCTTTCAGGCGTCTTGAATAGCTTACGAACAGCTTAGGCACAGCTTCTGACTACCTAAGGTGACAAATCAAGGCGCCTTCAAAGCGTCTAAAACAGGCCTGGATTAGGACTGAAGCAGTCGTTTAAAATACGTAATTCGTCGTATTTATCGCATTTAAATTAGGTCAATTGCATCTCTTTAAATAACGCCATTAGCACATATTGAAAATGGTTATCGATACTGATTAATTGTAATATAAATTTAATTAAGGAAAGCGTTATCGAAATAAAATCAAACTTAATAACAATTCATTTCGATTTACTATATTTATTTATTTAAAATTTGATCACATTTATTTTTATTATTATTACTATTACCACCGACTAGGTATAGAATAGACCTATCATCCAATGCTTTTTTCTGTCCCACGTTCATAAGGCTACGTAGCCCTGTTACCATTTTAGTGTCAATACCCGACGTACCGATACAGCATGAATTCTGAGTATTATTAGCACAAATGAAGTGTAATATATTCCATTCATATTACGTGTATCTATATGATTTCACGAGAATAAAAATATCCGATGCTTCAGTTTAAGGTTAAGGGATAAATATGACAGTCATGAAACATGAAACGGAAAAGTATATATTTTTTCACTTAACTACAAGACAATTTATTCTAAATGCATCGTTAATGGACATTTTACTAATGTTACTTTTTACATGTTCTTGTTTTATTCGTTTTTATATCTTGCTTTACATTTGTATATTTGTAACAGATAAATTCAGAATAGATGTAGTTTCATAAATAATTGATTAAATCTACCTTTTGGCCGGCGGCTTACAATTTCCCTTGCGGGAATGCCTTACCGTAATGAGCCATCTCGTAACCGCGGGATTCCGGGAATCGGGTGACGTTACGGCGTGCGAGCGAGTCGCGGTATCGGTGCTCTCCTTCGGTGTGACGTGTGCCGAAGAATTTCGGTGGTCTATGGGGGGAGGTGTGCGAGCGAGAGAGTACGGTAGAGCGTGCCGCGATATCGGTGCTCTCGGTCGGTCCAACGCGCTAGTGACGTTACATCACACAGTTTATTGACCTAGCCGTGTACGCCGTACTAGGCCGTACCATCCGGTGTTTGGGTCGTTCAAGTCGGCAAAAACAATTCAACACGAACAAACCTGCGTACGCCCAATACATAACGGCGTTAGCTTCCTCACTTTCTCGTGAGCCGTCGCGGAGGGTGGGCGTGCGTCTCATACTCGTCCTTTCCCTTGTTACTAACCCATTGTTTGTTGCAGGCATTCGACAACCATCAATTTATTTACTGTGCATATTGTAAGAGAATGACCGAAAAAGAAGGTGGAATTGGTATTTCTGTGCGAAGAAGGTCACGCACGTAGCATGCACTGGTAGTCAAAGCAGACCGACGAGTGTTGTTATGACTGGGACCGACAACGATAATCTGACCTAGGTCACTTTGAAAGTCACCGTCGGGTGACGATCGAAAAACGAATAGACAGGCACACTTTGTCGTTGGTCGTCGACTGTGACTGTCATAAACCAGCTCTCAATTCTTAGGCAGGATTATCGATATATACATATGAGTGTATTATTTTTCTAACAATAAAGAGACGGTAAAATCGCAGCCTTTCACGTATAACGTTCTTTTTCTAACAATATTGTTGTGTCCCCTCTCTTGTTACTAATCCCTTGTATGTTACAGATGTTCGAGAACCATTGGCTTCGATATTTATCTTTTTATGTACTGTGATTCATTTACTGTGCATATTATGTATTTTATGTGTATTGTATAATGAAAAATATTTTTCCAATCAATTATTCCATCGAAAGAAGACATCGATCAACGTCTACATCTTCAAAGCATGCGACTACCACTTCGTTAAGTTACTGTAAGTTAAACTTAAATCGTAATTCGATATTCATTGTTATATTCATATCATCACATCGTAATGATAATTATTATTATTAATTTTAGTCTATCTATTAATAGACTTAAATTGTGACCATCCATTGTGCATACCAAGTTATTATTCATTCATTTTGCTCGTTGATTCTCTACACAGACTTGGGGTACGGGCAGTGGGTCTGTACCTATGCTACGGGCAGTGGGTCTGTACACTAAGACTGTTTGCCGATCCCTCTGGTTTCTATTGAGCAGCCAGATATCGGACGTGTTTAGTCTTTGCCTGGTAAGTAGAATTTGGAGAAAGACTCGTGCGTGCAAGGGTACAGAGTAGTCGGGAGGCTGCTCCGTAAACAGAGAATCTCGCTTGCACTACCATGCTTGTGTACTCCTTTGGTTCGGGTCTGGTACGCAGGTGACCAGCCCAAAGCTCCATGGCAGTAAAAGATGGATCCAGGTTAGCGAGGTGTCGCCCGTTTTTCCTATTTTCTTAAACCAGGTTCTGGCGACAACACTTGTATCGCGATACTTGTTCATACTATAGTTTAACGTGGTTCATCGTAGACTTAATAACTGCTTGGTATATAGAATATTAGGTGCGCAAAACGAAATGATCGATGGAACTTTTTCCATTCCGTCTATCTCTTTCGTTTGAGTATTAGCGACTACGTTGCGTTTAGTTTAAGTTATTTTGTATTAATAGCATTAATTCGTGTTAATTAAAATATTAAGATAATATTAGTTTTAAGCTGAAGAACGAAGACAACCGGCGAGGGAACTTAGGTTTTTATAGGTTTAGGCTCAAGAAAGAAGTCATCCGCCGAGGGATTTAGGTACCGATAGTATTACATAGTTAAGATTTAAGTTATTTATAAGGTTTATTGTGAAAGATGGGTAGATGTAGAACTTGTGATTCCATCTATCTGCCTTGGGCCTCCACTCGCAGCAACCTCGAATCTATCTCATAAAACCACGTTCTATATTATATCGAACTAGGATTAGTTTAGAAATCGATATAAGATTCAAAGTGTAAAAATGTCTAGTACTTTGAATGTTTTAGAAAAGTATTCGAGATAAAGATGTATGGAACTACTGAAAATTACTTTAGATTCCTTTTCCTTATTCTTTAAATTCTTTGATTGGAATATGAATGTTGCTGGAAGTATGAACATTTTCACAGGACAATGATATAAATGGAACTTTAAAACTTTTTTAAGTGTTACAGTGATATTTCGTTATATGTTCCATAATGTCAATAATATTGATTTCCTTGCAACATCCATAATTATTACAAATGTCAATATAACGAAATATCTTTTATGCGATGTTTGTGGTGTAATAAAAATCTGTGTTTCGATTACGTTTTTGATACGTATTACTCACTTATATGTAATAATATATAAGGTTGATGCATAATTATCCGGCGTTTTTTCAACAAATTTTATTTAACAAAATCAATAACAATATTTGACAAAAATATGTTTAAACGATTATTCGGGAGCGTAGTCACCGTCTACTTCAATTACTGCTTCCCATTTGCTTGGCAGACGGTCGATTCCACGAGCGAAGAAGACACGATTCTTAGAGGCGATCCACGCTTTGACATCGGCCACCAAGTCATCCAAATC